TGGGCTTGGTCACCATAACAAGGAAAAAAACAAGGGTGGAGGGCCTCTAATTAACTTCTTATGATTAAGCAAGTGAATTTATAATTCACAACTCATAGCTCTGGGGCCTAATAAACAGAAATTATAATCACTACCCCTGCAGAATCATAGCAAACTGATTAATACTGATTGGAATAGAATAGGGGAAATGAATTATTTCTCACCGGTGGCCCTTGGAATCACTAACTAGACCTAGGCCCTTTCAGATCAGAACCAGGCTGGCCTCAGGCTGTAGTGATTATTACAGAAGAAAGGGGAAGACTGGTTTTTGTCAGTAGCAATTCTTTGTTAAGTATAGTGGCAATTTGTAAGTGGAGAAAACCTAATGCATAGGGGACATAACAAAGAATAAAAGCCCCTCTCTCTCTTTCTCTCAACACAACCACCCTCTACTACTGGGGTTCTTAATCTGGGGCTATGGATCCAGGATAGATTTCAAGGAGTCTATGAACTTGGATGGGAAAAGTTGCATCTTTATTTTCACCAACCTCTAACTGGAATTTATCATTTCCTTCAGTAATGTTTGAAAAACAAAATGTTGTCCTGGGAAGGGCTCTATAGGCTTTACCATACTGCCAAAGTGTTCCATGACATAAAAAAGGCTAAGAAAACTTTATCTAGTAGAGAATTCTTTATACATTGGAAAGATCATAGGATTTAGAGCAGGAAAGAATGTTGGGAATCATCCGATACAACCCCCTTATTTCATAGATGAGGGAACCTAGAACTGAAGTGAACTACCCAAGGTCACACAGAGTAAGTTCCTTCACTGATACCTTCAAGTTGTAGGTGATCTCTTTTAATTCCCTTATGTAGTAGCGATAGGGTCGTGTGCCCTGTTCATACTTCAGTAAAATTTTCAGGATATGGTAACATAGCAGAGAATATAGAACGATGGGTTTCAAACTAGGAAGACCCTGTTCAATCCTCACCTCTGCCACATACTGGCTTTATGACCTGGGCCACTCAAGTAACCTCTCAGTGGTCTAGGAAATTCTCTAAGACTGTAAAGCACAAGCAAGATGTCTACCATAGATCTGGTTCCTTTTCCTGTCCTACCTTTTCACTTGTATTTACCGAGCATTGTAAATGTTGTGTCTCCTCAAAAGAATGTCAGTTGTAGTAGTGTGTTTCTTAACTTGAATATAATTGAAGTAAGAAATCTGGATTTTTGAATCGAGATCTTTGACTCCAGGTACAATACTTTTTCTACCATACCTTGAAGATAGGCTCATTAAAGAGGAAGAATGTTGCAGTAGAACTTTGGAATTAAAAGTTTCTGAATGGGAGCTGTGACTTTCCTCTACATCAGCAATTCTCAACCTTTCTGGTCTCAGGACCCTTTTATATTCTTAAAAAACTGAAGACCCCTAAACATTCTTAAAAGTTCTTGAGGATCCCAAAGAGCTTTTATTTATATGTTATATGTGTTATTTATCATATTAGAAATTAAAACTGATAAGATTTCAAAATATTTATTAATTCATTTGGAAATAATAAGCCTATTACATATTAATATAAATAATAAATTTTTATGAGAATATTTTTCAAAGCAAAAAAATTGTGAGAAGTGACACTGTTTTATATTTTAAAACAATTGCTTCATTATCTGGCATGATAGAAGACAGTTGTATTCTCATATCTTCTTCCACATTCAGTCTGTTGCAATCTGTTGTTTTGGTTTAAGTATATGAAAAAAAAATTGGCTTTTTACAGCTATATAGTTAGAAAAGGGAGGAGTATTTTGATAGCTAAATCACATCTTAATATTACTATGAAAATAATTTTGTCCTTGACAACCTTCTGAAAGGGTCTCAGGCAACTTCAAAGATAGGCATGCCAAACTTTGAGAAAAGTGGGTGAAGCCAATTAGTTAGGCCAGGAAGGATAGGAAATGGTATTTGGTATGAGTAAATGTTGGCATTTCTCATTCTGCAAATCTTTTGATAACTAATATAGACTGGAAGTATCATCAGATTGAGAGCCAGAACATGGTTAGAAGTACAGCAGGAGGTAGGAACTTTGAAAGATGTAAAGAAGATCAGTTAGTTCTCAGTGCTTAAAAGACAAGTATCACCTAGCTCCAAGTATTAAAGATGACTTTCTTATTCCAAAGGACCCATGATGAAAAATGCTATCCACCTCCAGAAAGGGAACTGAAGAACTCTGAATGTGCATTGAAACATACTTTTAAAATACTTTTTAATTGTTTTATTTCATTTGTTTTCTTTTGCAACATGGTTAATATGGAAATATGTTTTGCATGAGTTCACATGAATGACATAAATTTGCTTTGCCTTCTCAAGGAGGGGGAAGGGGAGAAAGGGAAAAAATTTGGAACTAAAAAAAATTGTTAAATTTTTTTAGACGTAATTGGGAAATATTTAATAAATAAATAAAAATATATTTTTAAAAATGACTGTCTTTTAACCTCAGACAGAGCCTAGGTTAAGCATTGCTGTAAGTTAGAGGTGAAGGAACCTTACTTGACTTAATGGGAGAATAGTTCTTATCTGTTAAACTACTAGCTTGGTCATAGAGGTGCATCAGGATGGACAGCAGCACTTTTCAGACAGGGAGAAATGAAAGAATATCAACGAACCTTTGCAAATTAAAAATTACAAACTTCTCTATGTTATTTTATTTTCATTTACTTTTCCCCTTAATTCCCTATTGAAACTTTAAAAAATACTAGCCTAGTCTTAGTTGAATTAGGCAAAGCAGAGCTTGTTAACACCAACTTTAGGACACAGGAGGAACATTCACATTTCCCCATAGCTTAGGTAGTGGCAGTGAGAAAAAGAGAGGAAAGAAATATTTTGGAGAAGAGACTTTGGGTTCAGCTCTAAAAATTTTCTGAGTCTTTTTCTTTTGCATTCTTTCACATTCTTCACAGGATGTGATGGGTTTCATGAGGAAATTTCAAAAATCATCCAAAGATCATTCCAAAAAAATAACTCTTGGCACTTCTCCAAATGATGAAGGTAGAGATTGAAGTTAGAAAATTATTCCTTGTTTCAGCCCAAATAAATGAAATTAGCATTACATGTTTTCAAGAAACTTTTTTCAGCCCAGTAATATGACCTCCATATTTGGGCAAACTAATTCATATTTTCTGTCCATAAAATAACTTTAAAATGGTCCAAAAGGCCCCCAGAGTCTTCTACTTGAGTTCTACAACATTTTATAAATGATTACTTCATATTTTCTAAAATGGAATAACATCTCTTTCAACATTTGAATCATTGAGAAATTAATAGTTTTTGAGTGGGCTGGGTTTTGACTGCTTACTGCTTGTATGAGCTTGGGCAAGTCACAACCTTCCTGAACCTAATTTTCCTCATCTGTTTTAGTAGTCTAGACTAGATGACTTCTCAGGACTCTTCCAGCTTTAGGGGTATGAGCCTTTGAAGAGGGATAGATGAAAATAAAATTATTTACAGACATTTATATGGCACTTGAAAGTTGCCAAAGTGCTTTCCACATATTATCCCATATGAGTTTCACAACAGCCCTATGAAATACACATTATGAGTATTATTTTTTTCTGCCGGCTCATAGAAGAAGAAACCAAAATTCAGAAAGATTAAGAATCTGTTTATGGTCATAGATTAGTATCAGAGGCAGGCTTCCAACAAAGCTCTCTCCTAACTACAAATCTAGTTCTCTATCCACCAGGCTGTGCTTTCTTTCATTAAATGTAACCAAAAAAATCTGTCAGGAACTCAAGCTCTTTGGGGCAGAGATTTTTTTTGCATTATCTTTGTACCCCTGGAACCTAGGATGGAGCCATTCCCATAATAGTCACCTAATAAATGTTATAATTGAAATTATAGTTTTTTTTGGAGGGGGCAAAGTGAGGAATACAGGGAAAATTTAGGTATGTAAGAACAAAAGATAGAAATAAAAATTATATTCAACTATGTGAATATCAGATTGATAATGCTAATGATCTGTATAGGTGTACTAGATAGGTGCCTCCTATAAATGTGGGCTGTGTCTCTGTGCTTTGGTCTTTATTGTGTGACTGTTGAATTGTCTAAGGAATTGAATGGTATTGTTTGATGTGTATATACTACACAAGCATGATCTTGGAACTAGATGGACTTAAAATGGCTATTTGATGATCATTAGACAGATTTAAATAAATTTCTATGAAGTCAGATAGTTTAGATCAGCTCAAAATATACTTATCAAGATCAAGAGAAAGTAAATATATCTCAGATAAGAATACAATTTTTGTTTTAGTCCATTCAGTTTTAATGTATGCAGAGGAAGAGAGACAAGGGAAAGCCTTGTTGCTATTCCTTGAGAATTCTGGATGACAATCTTGAAGCAGGTAGTGTAGGAATGAAGGCATTCATTCGGCTTGGCAGCAGCAGACCTGGTCTTGAGTGCCAATTTTTGCCAATTATCAGAACATAACCTCGGGCCACTTTGACGGCTAGCTTTGCTGGTTTTCAATGCTTGTGCTACCTATTTGAGAAGGTTGTTGTGAACAAAGCATCATATCAACCTGATATGATTCTTTTCTTGAGAAATGGAATTTTCTCTGGGGCTAGGTTTGCATTTTGGTGCTCTGTTAGAAACTCCTTCCTTACTTGCGCTGAAAGTTACCCATCTTTTCCTCTTCTTTTCTTTCTATTCCTGGTAGAGGGATTTGGACTGTGAGAGAGGTGGCATGGTTAGTTTGGGTAAATTGCGGGAACTCTTAGGACCCAAGAAGCACAGAGCCAGTCTAAATAAAACATTGCTAACTCAAAATCATCCCTGAAAGTAAAGCTCTTTGAGTGTGAAAAAGCAAACTCATCCTAAATGTCAGTGTGCATCCATGGGGGTCAAAGACAGCAGGTAATTAGAAGCAATTAGCTGTCCCCCTGCTGGGAGAATAGGCAATTACCTTTTTCTCTCTTTCCTTTCCTTTTCTCCTTCCTTTCTCCTCCGGCTGAAACTGTCTGTAGTGGTTACTTTTTCCCTTGAGCAGCAACGTACCCTGAGCTGGCACAGAAATGAGGAATGAGCTGAGCCCTGGGTCGATTTCCTCCTCCTCCACCTCCTCCTCCTCCTCCTTCTCCTGCTGCTGCTGCCGCCGCCGCCGCCTCCAGAGCAGTGCATTGTGGAGGGAACAAGCAAAGACCAGTTAGAGTCGTGTTCCCGGCCAGGGGCAGGTTCACTTCACTACTAAGTAGCTCAGCAGGGCAGGGGAGCTGTCCAAGGTGCTGTCTGCCCCGTGTCCCAGAGGCCCTGCTCTGCGCTCTCATCTCCCAACGTCCACTGGCTTTCTGGTCTTCCCAGATCCCACTTCCCCGCCCCCGCCCTGACTTTACAGCTATCCCCTTCTCTTCCCCTCACCTTCTGAGTATCGCTTGTTCTCCACCTTGGGGTATTCGCTGCAGGAGGTGATCATGGTGTTTGCTCCAGGTAACGTTACCCCTTTTCCTATCGAGTCACCAAGTGGCCAGACTTGTAGCGGGGTAGGGAGGAGGAGGGGAAAAAGAGGCCTCTCTGGCCCATCATTTTTGCTCGGAGGTAGTGTATTACCATGTGTCTCTGCCCCTCTTTAATACTGTTTTGGGACCCTTTCCACTCTGAAATATGCAGCAGCAGCTGCAGAAGCAACAACCTAGCTGTTTACTCCCAGAGTATTTTCTCTCTGGGTGACTCTACATGCACCATACGAGGCCAGGCACCTTGAAAATGGGAACTTTGCCAGGACATCCGATACCTGGACAATGAGGCGGGTGGTTGGAGGGAGCTCAGAGGTGCGGGCTTCAGCTGCTTCTATTTGAACCCCAGAGGAGTGATAAAGTGGCACGGGCTCCTAGGGGAATTCTGGAAAAGAGGGCTAGAAGGCCTGGGGGTGGGAATGGAGGGTCTGGGAGGAGAAAGGAAGAAGAAAAGGGTGGTTCAAAGGAATGAGATTTCCTGAAGGAGCCGAACCTGAAACTCTGGCTAGAGGTTGCTGTAGCTGCTGCGGCGACTGGCGTCTGCTACTGCGGCGAGACGGGTTGTTGTAGTGCTTTGAGAGAAGTGACTGAGAGGAAATCTTTTCGCTTCTGTAAGAGGCGAGGGCTAGTCGACCAAGGACGCAGGTTCCGCCACCGATGATCCAGGCTAGGTGTGAGTGAGTGTGTGTATATGTTTGTGTGTGCCCGCTCACGTTTGTTCGCGCGCTTGCTGATTCGACTGCGTAGACCCTGGCTGTGTATCAGCTGAGTAAAGATCGGATTGGGTGGGGAGCAAGGGTGGAAAATTTCGGCTTATACAGTTATGTATAGTGTAGTCAGTCAAGCCTTTTACTCAGGCCTCTATAATTAGTGACATTATTTAAGGAGGCTGTTGAAAAGATCCACAGAGAAGCCTAACTTTGGCTTTTTTTTTCTTTTTATTAAATTGCAAAGGCAGTTTGTCTTTTCTGTGCTCATGTATACCTAAAAACTTGGGTTAACCAATGGGAAGGAAAAGAAAGGAAGAAAAGTCATGCCTTTAACTAGAAGACAGGTCCAGCTAGTAAAAACAAAGCAAAACAAAACCAGAACTGAACTGAAAGACTTTGTGGTGGTGTGTAAGTACATCTGTGGGGTTTCCCAACAATGGTGGGGTTTAGCAGGTATGTGTTTAGGGGTCACTGACCCTTATCATATGCAGTGAGTCTCTTTTAGTTATGGACCTTGAAAGGTTGCTAGAAAGTTAGTTTGGTCTTATCCAGAGTCACCTATCCCATGTGTAAAAGGGTAGAACTAAGTATCTCAAGTTCAGAACGCAAAGTCAAAACATGGCCGCAAGAAGAGAGAGGAAAGATACTGCTCTGAAACCAATGATGAAGTTTAGTGTGGGACTTTTACTGCGTCATTGAGCTAAAGGGTGGCTGTTTAGCACAGAAGGCTGCCTGGAAGCCATCAATCTCTTTCCACTTTAAGAGGGGAGACATTTCCAGACATCAGTGACTTGTTTGATCTCAAGATTAGGCAGCTTCTGAAAGTCAAAGATCATAGATATAGAATTGGAATGAACTTTTAGTGTCATCTAATACAATGCTCCATTTTTATAATAGAGGGTATTTAGAACCAGAGAGGTGACTTGCTCAAGGTTAAGTAGGAAGCAAATGGCAGAACTGGGATTTGAAAGAAGCTCTTGTCGTTTGATTCCAAATCCAGTATTCTTTCTAATGCACCATGATGAGCAGGATTTTGAAATAGGTAGTGGGTAACCACTCAAAGACTTGTTAAAAAAATTGCAATTTTCCGATTTCTTTCATACTTTTATTTAGGAAAAAGGGACTCGTATGAGCCAGACCTGGAATATCAGGTATAAGTGAGGAAGAGGGTTGGAATGTGTCTATAAAGGACTGTTTACCTAGTGGAAATAATTTTTTTTTGTTGGGTCAGTTTACCTTTGATTCAGAAGCTACTTCAGGCTATCATAATAAAGTCAGTGTAGGCTAAAGGATGAGGGGTGGGTGGCAGGATGAAACAGTGTAGTACTACTACTGGATTCAAGCTGTAACACTGAGCTAAAGGGTAGTTGAATAGTACAGAAGGCAGCCCTAAGGTCTATACATCTTTTTCCTTCCTTTGAGTGGAGAAAATCTCTAGCTTCCTTCAAGTTTTAGTTGAAATGCTACCTCCTATGTCTGATTTTTCCTTATTAGTCCTCCCTCTAAAATTGCTATGTATTTATTTATATCTCTTGATCTAAATATGTATTATTTCCCACCTCAATAATGTAAATTTCTTGAGTATAGGAACTTTAATTTTAGCTCTGGTACCTAGACCTAGGTGAGAAAGTTTTTGTTACATATATGCTTAAAAAATACTTTTTGGATTGAATTGTAATCCAGTGCTCTGCCAATGTCACACTTTCCAATATAGATTTTTTTTTGTGTGATTAAACAAAGAAGGAAGTTGTATAGTTGAACTGTGCCAGACTTTCAGCATTGCAATGTCTCCAGGTTCATCACACCACTTCTCAGTCCCTGCTGACTGTCATCCTGGTATTTTGAGCAGACTCAAAAAGGCTAGCTACCTCAAATAGATTATCCCTTCCCACTCCCCACCTAAAACTTTAAAAGTAAGTCAGTGGAAGTGTGTGTCAAGGTGATTGCTCAACAATTAATGAAAAGGTGTTAGACACTACAAGATCAGTAGGGTAATAAATTAACAATGAGCTATTCACAAAATTGGGTCAATGGCTACTGAGCCATTCAAAGCAACACTATGATAATTTATTTTAAAAACGGAATCTAGAACCTGGAGTTCTGTATATCTAGGTCTTACTTTACCTCCTTTGTGCTGAGTAATCTTGAGTGAAAGTCTTGGTCTTCACCTGACTCATCACTCACCCTCAAAGTGGTTGGTAAAGAATATATCATAAGCAGAAAACCATAGAATAGGTATCATTAATAGTATGATAGAATAGAGAGGAAAAGAGAAATTATTTTTCCCTACCAAGATTCAATGTAGAGTAGCAGAAAGAGTCCTACACCTGGAATCAAGTTAGCTGACTCTGACACTCTACAGCTATTTGACTTGGAATAAGTCACTTAACCTCTTTGTACCTCAGTTTCCTTATATGTAAAATTGAAAGAATAATAGTTGCATTACCTATCTGCCTCACAGGTTTGTTCTGAGGAAATCAATGTAAAAAACTTAAAACACTTAAAGAGTTTTATTGTTATGTTGTGTTGCTAGTCTTTCTTTTGCTTTATTATGAGTAAATCTTAATTTAGGCAAAATAGCTGAGATAATGTTGGTAGTTACAGGACAAAAGGCAAGAAAAATTCATCTTTTTCATCTTCTCAGTTTACTTAAGGCTGAGAATACTACAGTGCTCCACCACCTGCTCTTTCACATTTAAAAAAACATGGATATCCTATAATAATAAGATTATATTTCTGTCATAGAAGTATGATATTTTAAGAGGTTGAGTGATGACGATGATAGTTTCTAATATGTAATTTAGGAGGGTTCTTATCTAGTGTATTGCAAATTTTAAGCCCACTAAAGACATCTAATATCTGTTATATACTTGCAATTTGTGTTTGGGGTAGGAGTTGTATTATTGAGTGTTATCTATGTATGTGTTTCAGTTCCCCTTCTAGACTATAACACATATGACTGTGTTATCTGAACTTTGCACTCTTCCAGCATAGCTCTGCACACAGTGTGTGTTTAACAAATGTTAGTTGAATTGAAATGAATTGTATGATGTCTAAGGAAGCATCCAACCCTAAAAGTCTATGATTCTGTGGTTTATCCCCAGTATTAATATGCCCCCATGGGTTTTTAATAAATGCTTGCTGACTGACAAATGGATTGCTTCAAATTATTTAGTTTGCATCTATGCTAATAAATTTCCTTGGTGGGGGAAAGAATTTCCTACCAAGGAGGAAACAGAATGAAATTTACATTGTGTACAAATCAGGCAAGTCAATGCAACAGAAAATTTTTACAGGGAAATAAAAATAGTGCAATTGTAAGTAATCACTCCCTCTCCATCATTGCCCTGAACATTCAGCACCGGTCCCATCAGAGATAACTGTCAAAAATGCTTAAGAGAATGTCTTATTTATCTGAAGGCAGCTATAGTTTTTCTTTATTTATATTCATGGCCTACCAATTCCTGAGAGATCAATGGATGAATAAATAACTGCTGCACGCTGGTTTAAAGCAAGGTTTACAATCTGTCAACCCAAATACATTTTTAACAGTTAGCAGGAACTTTTAAAGGTAGATTGAATTGGGTCCTGACTGCCTAGATTCTTTCCTTTCGCAATTATGGAATTTTCTAAAGACCCATCATTACTTATAACCGAGTGCTATTTAATCTTGAGGCACACAGGAAGAGTAGTTTCCACATTAATAATAAAACTAGGTTTTGGCAGAATGTAATGGACAACCCATTATAGGAATAATGCCATCAGCCTCAGATTTTTAAATTTGGAAATCATTATTAAATGAAGATACCAAAGGCACATGGCATTGGCACATTGAAGTTTGAGATAGGGCAAATGGGCTGGATGATTTGGAGAGAGCTGTTTCTTCAAAGGATCATAGATAGAGGTGGAAGGTATCTCAGGGGTTATCTTGTTCAATTTTTTCATTTTAAAGATGAGAAGACTATGGCCCAAAGAATCAAGGTTATTCCTCTAGTAAATGACAAACGAAGTGTTGTCTGACTCAAGATCCAGCATTCTTTCCACTATGTCATGGTTACTATATAATGGACCTTCTTTTTTGACTCTGAATTTGGATAAATATAAGCCTCTCTTTTAAAAAACTGTTTTAATTAATTAATTTTGATTTATCAACAATCACTTCTACAAGCTTTTGAGTTTAAAATTTTTCTCCCCCCACCAAGATGGCATGTAATCTGATATAGGCTATACATATATATTAAACATTTTCACATTAGTCATGTTG